TATGTAAATTGATTTATTATATGACATAAAGGATTCGAAATTGATTTTACGAAAATGTAATGTGGCATGACATCATCTATTAAATTTGGATTGATTTATTTTCAATAAAAAAAGTCTGTGGGTTCATTTATTTTAATATTAGAATATGAGAGTTAAAAATTTTTAAAAAGAAGTTTAGAGGTGAATTTCAAGTAATTTGAAAAATACGCAAACTAATATACCTTTTTTTGTTGTTAGTTAAATTAATTTATAATAAAAATATTAAAACTTGAAATCATAATTATAAATTTAAGAATATCAACTAAAAAATAAAAATATTTTTTTAAAAAAACCCAATTTAAAAAATTAAAATTTTTAATATTTTATTATTAATAAATTTTGTATTATTTTCTCTGTTTTGATCTCTAAAAATGTTTCAAAAGGAGACTGCCTAAGCTTGTACAAAAACTCTCTCTAATTTTTATCTTGAATAAATATTTATAAAAGTATAAAAAATCTAATTATCATACACACACAACCACGCCAAAATAACGAAGGCTGGACGTGAACAAAGAGTTGGTGTCGGAGATTGCATATTAGCATCAATGTCATATCGGCACCGAGCCGTTTCTTGTTAACGGAGTAACAAGGAAGTAGACGGAAAGATGACATTTGATGACGTCGTTGTTAACGGAAGGGTTGATTTGTCGATTTTGATAAGTGGAGGGGTTGATTTACACTACTTATTAATAGAGAGGCTGACCTGCCACAATAAACTAAAAGGGTTGAATTGCATTTCTGCGTATTTTTTCTTGTCTACTCAGATCTTTTACTTTTAAATATGCAAGCTTTATATTTAAGACTGGAGTAAATTTACTTTTGACTAAAACTTCATTTTATTTCATTTAATTTAATAAAAAAAAACTCTTTTTTAATCTTTTTACTGAATTTTTTTTTTAATTTTTAAAATTTATTATTTGGTTCTTTTTTAATCTCTTTATTATTTTTTCACACTTGACATATTAAATAATTAAAATTTCAAAGGAACTAAAGAAGGGACAAAAAAATCCATTTTTAGTCCTCTACTTTAAAAAAGTTCCTTTTTAATTTTTTATATAGAATTTTTGTCCTCTAACTCTTCATATGTTCAAAGAAAATAATAAATGAATTATAAAGAATTGAATAATAAATTTTAAGAATTAAAAAGAAACTTTCTTAAATAAAAAGAGCTCAAAAAAACTTTCTTTTTAAAAAATAAAAAGAACAAAATAAAGGTTTAACCAAAAGTAAATTTGTTGGCAGACTTAAACATAAAGCTTGCACATTTAAATGTAAAAGATCTATGCACACAAGAAGAATAGGAAGGTGTAATTCAGCCCTTCTACTTTAGTTGTTATGGTAGGTCAGTAACTTTATTAAAAATTAGTTCAATTCAACCCCTTTACTTATAAAAATCCGCCAAATAACCCTTCTGTTAACAATGACGTCATCAAATGCCATCTTTCCATCTACCACATCCTTGTTACTCCGTTAAAAGGAATGGCACGGTATTGATACGGCATTGGTTGGGTGATGTGGCCAATTCAGACTAAAAGTTATCAGGAAGTTCTCATCTTCTTCTTTTTCTTCCATCCATCTTCTTTCCCCTACTTTCCATTCTATCTCTTCTTACTGTAGATCTACTTTTTCCTAGAAGTTCAAGCTAAATATTTCTCCAAAGTCTAAGCCCAGAAAATTAAAAAAAGATCTCAAAATATGAAAATATCAAGAAAAAAACTCAAAATCAAAATCAAAACTTGTGACTTTGCCAACACCAAATGATTTGCTCATTAAATTTTCATCTCTAGTAACCAAAAATCCACTTAATTTTATTTTGAATAAAAGTACATGTAATATCTATTTTTTTTAAAAAAAATCTCAAAAATGGATTCATATATTTTTTAATATTCGTTGAAGAATCATTTTGTTGATGCATATTTCTTTTTAATAAAGCTTAGTTGGTTGTTTCTACATCATCAACAAAGAAGTTCAATTGTTGCATATCTTTAAGAGCATGATTGACAACACCAACGAGTTAATCGGTTTGTTGTAAATTTCATCCTATCATTGGATGTTGCCACAAAATCTCTTGCATGATGTCAAGGAGTGTTTGCTATTATAAATACCCGATGATGAAATCAAGTAAGACAAGACCTATCTCTCACACAACTAATCTAGCATTATTTGCATTTCAGTTTTCACGAGTAATATCCTAGTTTAGCTCTATGCTTTCTCAAATAGCTTTCTTAATTTAATTATTAGCTCTACATTGCCACTAACTTTAGCTCTAATATTTGTTATTTTGGTTTGAACATCGTCATTGATGTATTTCGCTTCTTGCAATTTAATTTATTGCACTTTGCTCTAAATTCATCTTCCTATCTTCCTTTTACTTTAGTTTTATGCTTCCTTGATTGTATTGTCTTTATTTCATTCTTTACATTTACATACTTTTGCAACAGCATTACGCTTCTTCATGCAATTTAGTTTTCTTGTCATGCACTCTCTTTCTTCTCTTTTTATTTATTTCTCTCTTTTATTTTGATTAGTAAACTAACATTTTGGCCCTAGTTGTGGGAAGTCTCTTATGTTCTTCTTAGGCAACTATTCATGGACCTTTGTATAGGAATGTATTCCCATTTCTACGACAATCATTTGACTGTAGTGCATCTTATAATTTATTTAACTAATGCTCTTCCATTGACTTACTGCTAAGTTCCACACTTAGAAGTAGTGACATTCGCCAAGAATCCCTCTTTCTCACTTTAAGCAAAGTAACTATCATATCTTTGCAATTCTATTTGTCATGCAGTCAAAAAGAGAGATTTTGGAGACAACACATACATGCCCTTCTATTATTGAAGCAACATCCCAGTACAAATCAAGAATATAGAACTAGCATTATCCTCCTCTTAGACAATTAATTGAACACCTTATGTGTGAAACAAAAGGGGCTCAAACCTTGGTAATTTATATCACCCAACACCCAATAATCAAAAGAATATATTGCATAATTAAACACTTCTAAAACAAATAAACATAACAATCCCACCTATTTTTTCTAGTAGAGCAGTTAAAGAACTGTAAATCAATGCGTTGACGATCCTATTGAATAACCATTGAACTCAAAACCAGTTAACTGAGTTTGACCCATTAAGGATTGTCATCAATTTCTAATTTTGGTTCAGTAGAAAATGTTTGAAGCCCAACAATTGCCTTGAGATTCTGCTACTTGTTGAAGTAGGTGGTCTTTTGATTATAAATTCAAGTGAGGGAAAAGTCTTAGGTTTCTATTTAGCTATTAAAATGGTGAACATTAAGGAGGAATCGCCAAGAAAATCTTCAAAAGATTTGGTGTCAGTCGGGTTTTGGTTTGGATGTGTGTTTGTGGCTCAATGAAGATGGAAAATTTTGTCAGGCAATAAAATGGTGCTTCAATTAAAGATGGAAAGAAAGAAATATTATTGAATTGAAACGCTTACTTAATCTATTCACAATCACTTAAAAACTTTTTAAAAATAAATTAAAAAAATTGAATGTAAAAAATTATAAAAATCAAAATTATTATTCATCCAAATTATAAAATGCACAAGCCACCTAAAATATGATGTGTGAAAAAGAACATATTTACATCTCACAATTTTTCGTGTAAATTACTTATACTTAATTTTGTTGGGCCCTCGATCAAGAATGGAATTGGGTTGAAGATGAGAACAGGACAGGGTGAAACGAGGAACGAGGAAGCTGAGGGAAAAAGGGATGGCCAGGAGAGTGTGAAAGAGGGTTCTGTGTTTTTTTCTAAATTTGGGACTCGGGTTTTTTTTCTTTTCTGCCGACGAGAAGAGGTCCGGTGGCTGCCCACCTTTTTCTGTCCGAAGTTCCCCTCTTTACAAAATATCAAGCGTTAGGGTTTTTATTGAGGATTTGGGCCGGGTTGATCAGTTTGGTGGGCTAGCAGGCTTTGTGTATCCTTTTGGATTAGAGACAGGGCTGATATTTCAAAGTTTAGTCCCTGCAACTTTTCTCCTCTTAAGCTTTTAGTCTCTCATTTCTTGAGCTCATGCATGTAGGCTCCTGTGAGACAAGATTTAAATATAATTAAAATAATTGCATTTAAAGCAAAATTATAGATTTTCATACTTTTAAAAGTTTTATTCATTATATAGCTTTAAGTGAAATTTTGAGTTATAACAGTCATGTCCTATAGTAAACTCCATGTGTTATTTTTGTCATGTCATGTTCCAATCAGTGCCATGTAACCTTCTGTTAATGGGGCAATAGAAAGGCAAATGGAAAGTCGACATTTTATGATGTCATCATTAATAGAAGGGCTAATATGCAGGTAGCGTCAAGTAAAGGAGCTAATTTACACTACCTTTAAGTAAGGAGGTTGATATGTCACAACAAGTAAAGTAGAGGAGCTGAATTGCATCTTCTGCCAGAAAAATAAAGTTTTTGCAGGTAAAAACTAAATAAGGAATGAAAAGAAGACAAGCGACAAAGCAAACAGAACTTGAATTGAAAGGGGACATCTAATTGAACCTCAATGTGGAAATAATTACATTAAAAGTCATGAATCTTGAAAACGAAAACATATGCAAATATTGCTTGCAGATGCAATTCAGCTGTCATTATAACACCAATGGGGTAAACCTCACCATAATCAAACAATAAATCAAAAGGATCCTTTTGATATGGAAGCTTTAACAATTTTTATGATATATATTAAGATATAATTAAAATAGTTGAAGTTAAATTAAAATAGAATTGTGTTAAAAGGAAATATTATTATTGAAAAATAATATTGAAAAATAATATAAAAAATGCTTTTAAAAAATTGTTTTTTAAAATATAATTAAATTTAAAATTCAAAAAGTCATTATGTATTTATTTGATATTTATTAAATATTTTAAAAAATTCATTGGTATCTTTTTAATACTTATTAAAAAAAATTTATTAAGTATTTATTTAAATTTATTAAAGAATTTAACATTTTTTATAATATAGAAAGAGAAGATGAGCACTCAGCGCAACTTTAGATCCTAATTTGATCTAAACTCCTAAGAACTTATGTTTTTGATATTTTAATGAGGATGTTGGAATCCACTCATTTCCTTGAATGAAATTTCGGACCGAGTACAGGAAAACATGATCAGCCGAAATCTGGGAACTCCATTGCACCCTCTTAGATACATCAGATCCTGGTCCAGAATTCTGATATTCTCCATAGAAAAGTGTTTTCAATGCGAAGTCACCACTCCATGGCATCCACCCATCAGGATGAATGAGTTCCTCAAAGGTACACTGAATGAAAACTGTTCTTGAGTACTCCTTCCAAGGTCTTCCCAAGAAATTCTTGTGTGCTTGAGGCTTGCTGTAATAATATTTCATGTAATCCTCAGTGCCATTGACCAAACAATTCTGAAAAACAAAACCCGTTGTTTGGGCAGGGTCTATCCTGCCATTAGCAGTAATGGCATTGTTCTCACCCTCTTCGGGGTTCACTTGTCGAGGAGCAACTAAAATCTCACAATCTTGGAATATTGCAGCAGAATTTCCAAAAATGAAGTCCACATTCCCCTGAATACGACATTTTTTGTAGAATTGGCGGAGTGAGCGAGCATACAGAGTATCTTGATTGCCAATGAATTCACAATTCTCAATGATAGAGAGATCACTATCTGATCTAAAAGCTACTGCCTGGTGGGTATCCGGACCTGCCGTGTTCTGGATCGTTAGGCCACTCGCCATAAACCCATCTCCAATAACTCCTGCAAGATTGCAACAACAGTCCCTAGTTCACAGTCCTTAAATTATTTCCAAATTCTAATCAATGTTATAACTCAACTATGCATAACAAATACCATTAAACCATATATAACCTTTAGACTTCAACTTCATTCATCCCGTAATAATTCAACTCCAATGATTTTACTGTTAGTATACATGCTTTAATTAATTCTTTAGAAAATAAAAAATAAATGATTTTTGCTGCACAATCTACATCCAACTAAAAAATCTAGGCCTTCAAACAATGAGATTCGGTGTGAATCCCACTCATGCAAAAATTATGATGCGTGCAATTTTGATACAAACCTAAAACTCCATTCATTAAAAATTAATTTATCTAAAATTTAATAAATAGAAACATAAATGAATTGAATGAATTATATGCTTACTAGCACTAGAACTCATAGGTCAATTACTAGATGCACCTAATGTCATAAATGATCAAGGTTTAAATTATAGCATTGCCATGTTAAAATCGCTCATTCTCTACCTCAAATTGTATTTATTAAAAACAAAGAATTATATACTTATATTATTTTTTTAATGAGATTATATACTTATTAAAGTTAAAATCAACTTACACATTATTTGTTTTAATTAATAATTTATTATCAAAAAATTATTTTATAGTTAAAACTATATTAAATTACAAAATAATTACTTTTGAATTGAAAAAGAGCCTATACTATTGAGTCTTTGTCTCCCATCCAACTGTGGTCTATATTTTTACAGTTTGGTAGAGTTCTTACTATCAAATGGAAGACCTATTTATTATATTATATAATAAATAATTTATATTTCACCAAATTACAGTAACGGTTATATGTAATATTTATGTATCAAATTATTATGGTAACTAATGTACGTATACGTTACACGTAGCACAAGTTTATCGGTTTCTGGCGCACACTCAATGAACCTGTAATTAAAAGATAATAATGGAAAGGAAAACTTACCAACCGTGGCTGAATTGTAGGTTGTCATCCCGGGCTGCCCCACATTTAAAGACCCTGTAATGACCGTTCTGCCCATGCCATCTCCCGAAAACACCACATTCTTTTTCTCAAACGGAACTCTAACTGTCTCCTCATAAACCCCTTCTTTTATATGAATCACAAACCGACGTCCCATTTCGTTATCCGGCGCGGCGTTAACGGCTGCTTGCACCGTCGTGTAACACCCCACCTTCCCGTCTTTGCACACCGTAACATTCACCTTTAAATTTGACGGAAATCCCCCTTTAAACCCCAATCCGCCTTTCCTGGCTGATCTGCTTCCCCCATAAAATCCGTCTCGCTCTGTTTTGGGTGGAGCCCACGAGCCCATGTTGTCCCCGAAATAATCATACGCCATCATCATGCTCAACGCATTACTGCTGTACACAATCAAGGTGTTCAAAAACGCCATTGTTTTGTCTACGAGGCTCGTGTCGTTCGTGTACTTGAGCACGCTCCAGCACTCGAAGTGGTACCCATGGGCCGCGGTCATCCATGCACGTGCATCCTTGATCTTGCCATGTGTCAACGCATCAACCGCCAATTCAGTTCGGCGAAACGAGTAGGAAAGGACCTCCAAGCACATCTTTGCCGCTGTTGAACGGTTATGGTTTCCCGATGAAGCGTCCAGGATGGATTTCACCATGCCCTGAGCGGTTTTCAGGTTCTGGGTAGAAACCCCAATGGCAGAATTGATCATCTGGATTGGGGTTGGGTTGGGAGGGAGGGAAGGTGATCGTGCGATGCAGGATTCGCATAGTTCGGGAAAGCGAGTGGACATGCATGCTTGATGAATCGCAGAGGAGGATGCGGAGGAGACAGAGGCCTTATGAGGAGGCTGGGGGGATCGGCGGGCGGCGGAGGAGGAAAGGGAAAAGAGAAGGGAGAGAGAGAGAATGGATAGGAGGAGGATGGAGGACATATTGAGAAGAGGAAGGACGTGGACTATTGGCGGGTTATTGGCGGAGTTTTTCTGGGGTGATGATGTGAAAAATGTTGTTGGCATTGTGGTTATTTGTAATGTAGTGGGATCTAATTTTCTGTTTGATTTTGGGAATTAACTTTGGAAAATACACTATTAGATTTTGGAAAATAAAATTTGGAAAATTGGAGTTGGAATGGAAGGTGAATAATGCAGAGAATGAGAGAGAGCGAAAAAGGAAGTGGCAGGTCTTTGGATTCTCTAAAACTAAATAATAAGATCTGGAAAATTGAAGTTGGTGAATAACACACAAGAAAAGTGAAGTAATGGTTACTTATTTTGTTCTTTATTTTTGTTATTTAAGTATACAAAAATTTTTAATTCTTATAAATAAGGGTACTAATGTTGCGAAATTTCTGTTTAAGGATTATATAAGGATTAAGAGGTTGTCAATGTTGACGTGGCCGATGGTGTTCGTTAGTTGGATCCCATGATTTTGTTGACATGTATATATTGGACACATGCATTGCATACTTGAATAAAAATTTGACGGAAAATAATTTAGAAACAATATATATTTTCTTTTACAATTTTAAGTGTTATTTAATGATTTATTTTTTTATTTATGAGTCTACTTATAATATAACATGTATTTACTCATTTAATAATATGTTAAAATTAAATAAAATACTTTACAAAAAGGTTGTATTCATATATATATCTGTAATCGCACCAAACCAGAAGTCCTTCTTCAGTCCACGTCTGAACTTCGGATTGACCTGTAAAGCCCCGAGGTTGAACTCGAAGTAGACACTCCGACACTTAAGTTAGCAATAATCGGGGCTACCTTTAGAATGGAGATCAAAGGAGCTTAGGGTTGGTTTTAATTATCTTTTTGACGTGGCCCCTGGGGGGTATTTATAGGCTCCAGTGAGGAACCCACGTGGCATGCCAAGCAAGATAATCGAAGTCTAACATGTCTCTTCAGACGGTTATATCGGGATTGAGAAATTGAGAGATATCCAGATGCAAGAATATCCATCATAACTGCTGTGCAGCTTGTCATAAGAAATCAGGTGTGGGCATGCTTATTGTCGTTGTCATGCAGCTGTTTAAGCGGGAAGTGTTGGATTTATCCTTCGCTTCGGTTATAAAGGAATTACTGTCATATGTTCGATGTTGGGTACCTCGGACCTATCCTTATACTATTCCCCCCCGAAGTCATTCACTTGTGAATGATGTTGTTGGAAATAATGGGAGTAGTGCATAAATAGAAAGGAAGGGGGACAAAAATATTAAAGATGAGTTACAAAAGTAAAAGTAAAAATAGAAATAAAAATAAAAATAAAAATATGTAACTCAAATGTATGTATGACCGTAGCTAATAGTGAAGTATGTGATAGGGGGTCATGATGGCCATGCCCAAAATAAAATGTCACCGGAGTGATCGTGGCTGTAGCCGTGGTAAAAGTAATGACCGGAGTCAATGTGGCCGGAGCCAAAGTAAGAAATGATGACTAGAGTCATAGTGGTTGGAGCCGGAGCGAAATTTGATGATTGGAGTTATAGTGGCCGGAGCTGTAATAAAAAAATAATGACCGAAGTCATAGTGGCTGGAGCCATAATAAAAAGTAATGATCGGAGTCATAGTGGCCGGGGTCAAAGTACAATATGTGACAAGGAGTCATAATGGCCAGAGCCGAAGTGAAACATGTGACACTGGGTCACTGTGACTGGAGTCGGAGCAAAGCATGTGACACTGGGTCACTGTGGGTTGGAGCCGAAGTAAAACATATGATGTTGGGTCACTGTGGCCAGAGCAGAAATAAAACATGTGACACTAGGTCATTGTGGCCGGAGCCGAAGTGAAATATGTGATATTGGGTCACTGTGGCTGGAGCCGAAGAGACAAGTATGACCAGAGTCATCAGGTCGGTTGCCGAAATAAAATACTTGCAAAATTTAAGAATATGTGAAAATGGGCAAGAGTGTTGAAATGGGCTTAAGTGGGCCCGTCTGAGAAGTCTGACAAAGAGTCAATACGTGATGTGATAGCTGCCCTCTGAAGGACGTGCGTAATAAATGCGGCTGTAAAAATATAACTGCAATAGTTAAATGGCTGGAATTAAAAAACGAACCGTTGAGTTCGAAATGGTGCCGTTTGGGGTTAACCGTCGAATTCAAAACGGTGTTTTTGTAGCCACTAGATGGAATTAATCACAACCGTTGAGGCGTATTTTTTCTTTGGTATAAAAGGCAATACTTTTGTAAAAAAGGGTTTTACTTTCGTTATTTCGCTACCAAATTCTTGCTAAATTTCTACGGTTTCGTGTGGTTTGTGCTTCGTTTGAGACTTCAACACCAGTTTCACAAGACCAAAATCAGGTAATGTTTATGATTCTCTGATTTTGATTTGAACGAAGTGTTATTCTCTTTTCTCCCTTTCTGTTTTTGATTTTGAGTCCTTTGAAGGAAATTATGGTTGGGAGTGAGAATGACATTGAGTGTTCGTTAGAATTTTTTAAGAGTCCTGACCTCATGCCTCCTCCTATTTCATGCAGAATTTGAGGAGATGTCTTCAGAAGGAACAATGAGTGTGGTAGGAAGTGAGGTGATGCCCTTGGAGTATGGTGGCATGGACTCAGAGAGTAGTCCGTCTCCGTCTAGTTCAGAAAGGACAGTGGAGGAGAGGAGGGAGCAAGGGGCAGTGGAAGAGGAGGAAGAAGAAATTCCCTCAAATATTATGGAGGTTGAGGGGAATACAGATAGGTGTTATGACCCAGAGTTGGACGTAGTGTCTGAGGTGAGGGAGTATAGGAGTGAATTAGGTAGTAGGGGTAGCTTTAGGGGCCTCGTAGGTAACTGCAATCTCCCTTACCATGTGCTAATTAGACCTGCCGGGGTGAATGAGAGAGCATGCTCAGCACCCCGAGACCATTGGATGCCCATGTATGTCCATTATTTGGCAGCAGGGCTTAGGTTTCCCATTCTAGAGTTATTGGTTGGGTTATTGGTAGATTATAGTATAGGAATAACCCAATTAACCCAAAATGCTATAAGAGTAATAATAGGCTTTATAGTATACTGCCGAGCTCGGGGTGTTGAGGTCCTTACCGTAAATATGTTTAAACATTTTTTTATAATAAGGGCTAGGGGTAAGGGTGAGAAGGAGTGGTACTACTTCGGACCTTGGACGTCAAGCAAAGAGAATAGGAGTTTATTCACTGCTGGACCGTCATTCATTAAAGGATGGAAACAAAAAGGTTAAAACCCTATTTTGGTCCCTGAACTATTGTACGGACCCCCGATTTGGTCCCTAAACTAAAAAAATCCCTGATTTGGTCCCTATTGTTTACCATTTTAACCCCGATTTGGTCCTTCCGTTAAATATCTGCTTACGTGTCTTGTTACTTAACGAGGAAAAGGGTGACATGTCAAATATTAATACACGTGGAAGACAATAAGACTAAAAAAGTGATGACATGGAAAAAATAATAATATAAAAAAATATTATAAAAAATAAAACTTAAAATTTTTTTTTTACTTTTTCCTTCCCTTTTCTTTTCTCTTTCCCCTTCCTCTTCCCCTTCTCTTTCCCCCACGCGAGGCCTGGGTTCCACCGAACCCAACACGCCCACCGAACCCAGCGCTTGGGTTCGATGAAACCCAGGTGCTGGGTTCCTTAAGGCCCAGGCCTGAGTTTCAAAAAAAAAAAAGAAATTTCTATTTTCTTTGTTTGGGTTTTGTTGTTTGATGATATGAGAAATTGATTGATGAAGATGAAGAAGGCAAGGCAGCCGTTGGGTTTTTGCGGGTGGAGGAAGATGAGGAAGGCATAGGTGCTGGGTTCGAAATAACTCAGCAAGCAATCGAACCCAGCAGCCGCTGGGTTCCTGCAGGTGCTGGGTTCAATTTTGAACCCAGCAGGCACTGTGTTCAAGCTGGGTTCCTGCAGGTGCTGGGTTTGATTTCGAACCCAGCAGGCACTGAGTTTCGTTTCGAACCCAGCAACCGTTGGGTCAATGGATTTGTTGAGTTCCATTTGTTTATTGATCTGTTGTCTGTTGGGTTCTGTTTCAAACTCAGTCAATGGATTTGTTGAGTTCGATCTATTTATGGATTTGTTATCTGTTGTGTTATCCTTATATTCTTGCAGGTGTTAGATTCGATTTCAAACCTAGCAAGCGATGGGTTTTGTTTTCAACCCAACTACAGTTGGATCGAAGGATCTATTGATTTTTATCTGTTGGTTTGTTGTGTTATTGTCGAATTTAATAGGTTTAAGTATCATTTTGGTCCCTCAACTTTTCACTTTGGTACCAAAATTGTCCCTCAGCTTTAAAAAGTACTAAAATTATCCTTAAACTTTCATTTTTGGTACCAAAATAGTCCTTCCGTCAGTTAATTGACGAGTGGCACGTTAAAATGCCAGCAAATCTTTTTTTTTTTTTGAAAATATATTGATGTGGAAAAGATAACACACGAAAATTGATGAGATGGCACTTTATTTTGTTTATGTGGCATTTTTAATTTTAAACAAATAAATAA